GACTTTAACTTTTGTTAACTAGATTGTACTAGCTCATCTGTAGCTCCAGAAGGGTAAGAGGGTATCTTTCCTTTTTACGCTAGGGGGTGTGTACCGTCTTTGCGATGCCCACGTGTGCCACTCCTTTGTAGCTACGACTTGTTAGTGCAACTAGCTAAGGGTTTCAAGTGATATACCGCCACACTTCACGGGAAGAGGTGTAGTGGGCCTTGCAAACCCGGCATTGGGAATCATGGCTCGGTGGGTAAAGATGTACAATTTCTGCAGAAATAATTAACTTTGTTATACTTGTTGCGTGCTCACGGATCTGAGTGGTCCTGGATCCTTCAAGATTAGTGGTTACTTGTGGATGGTGGATGGTTGGGAATTGAGATAAACTTGACTATATTTTAATATCATTTGGGAATTGGGATTGTTCATTAAAGTAGTGATTCAGGATGCTAAAATTTGATTAACTAAAATTGCGAACCGCAGTCAAATAGTGTCAAGCCTTTTCGAGCCTCATAGATCCCTTTGATATACTTGCTAAGCATGGTGAGCTTACACTTGCTTTACATCCAATGAAAATCCCGGATGGGTACCAGATTGCTGGTTTGGAGGAGTTAGGCTTGTGGTCAACCAGTCAGTCGTCCCTGTGGATTTGGAGTCTTCACCAGAAGATAGGAGTCAACTTTTCGCTGTCTTTACTCTGAGGTTATTTTCCTTTTTACTAATACGTTATGTAATAAGTATTGTCTCTTGATATTATCCTTATTTGTGGCTATATGTGAGATTTGACTTCCTGGGCTCACATATAGTGTGTATCTGGTTTTGTCTTTAAAACCGGGTGCTACACTTCCCACTCCCCTCGGAGGCGCTGCAACATCACCCGGCGCACACGATCTCCGCCGATGTGTGCCGCGGTGATTGATTCCCACGCCAGCTTTGTCGTAGCCTTATTGGCGAGGGAGGCGTCGAGCTCGGTGGGGACGACGGCACACAACGCCTCTAGCGTCCGGCGATCGTCGTCGTAGTCGCCGCTGCCGGTGTGAACCGCCTCCAATAGCCGTCGGGCCTGTAGCTTGACCTTTATCAGCAGGCTCCACTCGTGGTAGTTTGACTTGGTGAGCATCAGCCATGCGTTCGCACTCCGGAGTCATGGTAGACCGTCTGCAGCACCGAGGAGCGGCCGCGCCGACCACGACGCCGCTCTGGTGGCTGCGATTGGCGGCGACGCCCGACCGGGCTACGCGATACTCCAGCTGGCTCCGGCTCCCGCTCTATCTCAGAGCGTAGTGCTGCAGAGGAGGCTACCACGGCCTAGGCCACAGCCACAGCCACCGCCTGCCTGGCCGTCTCGGCCGACGCCGCAGCCGCTGCCTCTACGGTAGCAAGGCGCGCCGCGTGATCGTCGGCTCTAGCACCCGCAGCGGAGTGCGCTCTCGCGATCTGGCTGGCGGTGAACATGGCTCTCGCTCACTCAAGAACCCTCTCAGCTCTGATACCAAATTGTTGGCCCGATTGGATCTGAGATTCAGATCTAGAACTACCAGAGGGCAGCTTGGCCCTTGGCCGCTTGGATTGAATGGAAATGCAATGGTTTATTTTTACAATGACACTCCCTTGCCCTTTGTAGGCAAAGGGGACTCCCACTTGCTATAATATATTCTAACCACTAAAGTGGATGATGAGCATATTCCTAACACTAGGCTTGAAAGCCAAGAAAAGTAAAAGTGCAGAAAAAGTAAGATACAAGTGCATTAGCACTAGGCTTATCTATCATATCTGTAACGTCCTGACCTGAAAAATGGCTAAGATCCACTCTACACGTTGAATGGACCACACCTATGTATTAACTCGCTTGCACTTTCGTCCTCGCTTCACGCAAAAGGTTCAAACCGGAGTTAACACACTTTTTAGGCCTGGTTTTTAAGTTGGTTCAGCTTTCCCTCAGGTTCCGATATGGGACTAAAGTTTCGCAGCTACAGTGTTCTTCGCTGCTATAGTAACTGACAACCAGAGCTACAGTACTCATCCATTCAGCCCAACCCATCAAACCGGCCCAGCTTTGGCCCATTTAACGGGGTTTCACATATACCCACCCTTGAGGACTCGACGTCCTTGTCGAGGGCCGAACCAACCTATTCAAATGGGACAAATGTCCAGGATCGACTCTCTTGGCCATGTCCGTATTCCCAGCTCCCCGGCACAAGTGCCATGCTCTTGTAGAGCCATGCGCAACCTGTCCGAGCTCCCAAGCCATACGTCCGTGAAACCGCGAGAGTTGGCTCTGGTACCATTTGTAACGCCCCGACCTAAATAACGGCTAAGATGCACTCTACACGTTTAATGGACCACACCTATGTATTAACTCGCTTGCGCTTTCGTCCTCGCTTCACGCAAATGGTTCGAACCGGAGTTAACATACTTTTCAGACCTAGTTTTTAAGTTGGTTCAGCTCCCCCTCAGGTTCTTACAGGGGACTAAAGTTCTACAGCTACAGTGTCTCCTCTGCTACAGTACTCGGCCATTCAACCCAGCCCATCAGACCGGCCCAGCTTTGGCCCATTTAGCGGGGTTTCACAATTAGTCCCCTTCATAGTCGTCTTTTGCCTGTGTTTGGTGAAAGTTGTTGGTGATAACCAAGTTACCACCACCGGCTCGACATGCCATCTGGGGGTGATAAAGTGGATATCATTGTCGGTTTGAAGTACAATCTGGCGGTCATGTCTTCATCGCCGCCGGGGTAACGTTTAATTCGCTGGTGATGTCTTTCATCATCGCTAGTTTTACCATATCATCCAACGGACAACGGTTTGTGTAGGTCGGCAGTGATAATGCAGTTTCAGAATACTAATTTAAATTAGCATAATAATTAATAGCATCATTATTGTGATCACACCAGGCCCACAACCTACACAATGCATCAAAATATACATATGGTTCTAGTCATGAGCCCATACATCAAATCCGACCACGATGTTCTCTCAAGAACATGAGATATAAGTATGAGAACACAAGTCTAAGCTAACACACAAATATACATGACATGTTAATACCGGGTGAACAAGATGAATCAGAGTTGCACCTTGATTAGATAACACGATAGTCTCCATCTTGATTCACCACGACTTGGACCATAATGAAATCATCAAGCTTTTCTTCATGTCTATGAAGGAATGGATGTGCTTTTGCTCTCTTCTTAAGTCAAAAAATGGTGAGAAGGCATTTCTCTAAGTTGATGTCAAGAATGACAAAATGGCTACTGGATTTACAACACACTATGCAAATTAGGCTCAACCTTGACATATGTGATGAAATAGGGACAAATTAGGGACACATACGTGTAGTTGTAGGGTAGAAATATGGATGATTTGTCTTGTTGGGCAAGCTTAGGTGCTATTGTTCTGTATTGTCTTCTCATTATGTTGACTCTAATTATATTGACTCTATTTTATGTCACATAGGGCCTACGAGAAGCACTACAAAAAAAACAAGAAACATACATCTTTTTTTGGACATTCGATTCACTGCAAATGAGGCCAGTCGTTCAATCACAAGGTATCCTTTTGGCAATGATCACTGCTGCAGTTCTATGTCGTGCATTACATGCGCACCGTCATCAGAGATGGCTACTCCGAAAGTGGTAATATTGGTCAACTAACAACACATCATCTTCTATGGTTCTACCTCCACGCTTTGCTTCTGTTTTTATCATGGCTACGCATTTATTTGGAAGAGGGGTCTAAATGGGCTCCATGCTCCCAAGTCCCAACACTTCGGATGGGGGTGATGGATGGAATCCAATTCTAGGGCTGGTTCGGCAGGCTGGTTGAATAAGCCAAAATACTGTTCTGACTGGGTTATTGTGAGAGAAAAATACTGTTCTGACTAAAAGACACTGTTCAAGTGAACAGTGCCCGCGTGAGTGGACTGGCCAGCACCAGCCAGCCAGCCAGCCGAACGCAGCCCTAGTAGCCCCAAACTTTGAACCCTTACCGATCACTGACATTTATGCCATGACTTTTATTCGTCTTAGAAAAAACTTTTCTGCTCTCAAATTTAGAGGGCGTGAAAAATTAGTACTTTGGTTCATGACTATAATTTGCCACGCCATAGTTTATTAAACATGTGTTTGGTTCATGCCAAAACTATGGCGTGCCAAACTTTTTATTGATAAGGGCGTAAACGGATCAGATACGGTCGCATACCTACAGATGTGAATACGGATAGGTACATTTAAGTTTTCGGATATGGATAGAGTATAGATAATAAATGTGCGGATTCAAATACAAGGATTTTCATACATATACCCTTCAGTTGGTTAGAAAATATTTGTACCATTTGCAGCCCTGTTCTTAGCCATATGCACCATATATCAAAGACTTATTTTGGTGCCAAACTTATCGTACTTTATCTAACCTTAGGCCTTGTTTAGGTGACGAAATTTTTTGGGAAACGGTACTGTAGCAATTTCGTTGTTATTTGGCAATTAGTGTCCAATCATAGTCTAATTAGGCTTAAAAGATTCGTCTCGTGAATTTCGTCTAAACTGTGTAATTAGTTTTATTTTTTATTTATATTTAATGCTTCATGCATGCGTCTAAAGATTCGATGTGACGAGGAATCTTGAAAAATTTTGCAAAATTTTAGGAAGGCACTTAGTTATGGCAAAGCTATATATCAACAAACAGGGCCTTGTTAAGGATCTGACAACAGAGTTCTCTTTCACTGTTTGGCCATCAGAGTACTCGCTAGCGACAACCCACTGCCCCCTTAGGGTCGCAGTGTAAGAGGCACAAACCACAACTGGAGGAGGACCCACATCCACATTTGACTATGTGAGCTGTTCCTCTCCTCCGAGCTCCGAGCTTCCATGGCCACCGCATCGCTCTCCTCCGCCTCTTCGGTTACCTCTGTGCTGCGTTGCTCTATTCTCTCCGCCCCTCGGCCCCTCTGAATGAGTGGATCCAAAACCACCTCCGGCCGATTCAGCCCCATCCCCATCCTAAACCCGCCGCATGTTATGGTATCTCCTGACCCGCAGGCCGCAGCCGTCGCCTCCTACCACCACCGGTCCCGCAGCCAACAAGGCGGGTTCTTCAATTGACCTATGCAGCACCAGCACATGGGTGCGAATGCCTCCTGCCGCGCTCGAGCTGCCGCTCCGCAGGCTCTCCGACGAGCAGGTGGGCCTCTCACGGACGGAACCCCTGCAATTCCAAAGATCTGTTTCTCATGGTTGTGTGATGTGCAGGCGATTATGTCAAGGCGAATACAGCGGAGAGTTCGACCGCGGAGGAGACGCTCGCCGACGTTCAGGCTGCTACTTGCTGAATTTTTCAGCATCTTGAGTGTCTCCATTCCTTTGGTCTCACAGCTTACTGCTATTCTCTGGTGTGCTTCTGAAAAAAAAAAAAGAAGAAAGAATATCCGATGTGCTAGTGCTCGTTTTCTCGTCCAGAGCCGTTTGACGTTGTATGGGATATTCATTGAAACCTTAAGACTTCAGTCATCTGGATAATCCCGTATAATTCCGCTGCGCGCACTTGTTTTGCAGACAAGTCCTGAACGTGGTCAGGTCCACAGACATGGGCTCGCGAAGTCAGCAATCTTCATCTCTGACTTTGCTTTTATCAAAGTCAGATAGCCATTCTGAACGGTTACTTGTTTATTGAGACTTTTCCTTACAAGCCATTATAAAAGTTTCTAATTCCTTCTCTGCCACAGAAAATTTGGCTGCCCCTCCTCAGTCCCTCGCACAAAGTTTTGTGGTCGTGTGTGCCACTTCTGTGAGGATACAGAGTGACGGTCGGTAATGGAGGGATACGATGACCGTTTTGCCCCTGTGTCCACTTAAGTCCCATGGCCACGAAAGACACCATAGTCTGCCATTCCTCATTTCTCGTCTCTCTCTCGAGCTCGTCTCTCTCTCAAGGCCACGTGCAGCAGGGGCCTTGGTTAAGGGTGACCGCGAGATCCAACCAAGGCGGCGGCGAGAAGAGGCAGCGGTGACCAAGCAGATCTGCACACGTGAGGAGATGGTCTCATGGGGTAGGGATCAAGAGGTTGACCCACTGGATCCAAGGCCGTGTGCAGCAGGGGCCTTGGTTGAGGGTGACCGTGAGATCCAGGGAGTCGCCATGGTGGAGCCGGAGGTGCGCCCAGCGTGGCTTTTCAGACAGGTAAGCTGTTGTCTTCTTCTCTTGTTGTCCTCCATTGTCATGCACTTAGCCTAATTGTAGGTGCTTAGTTTGTTGCTGTAGATCTGCCTTATTCGATGGGTGTTCGTATGTAGGATGGACCCCAAAACAAGCTACATATTAGAAATAAGGATCGTTGCGACGAATTCTCGATGCCGTTGGTTTAGCATAAGCACAGTTGTAGATGCCGACACAACAAATTTCAAGGATTTGGTCGAAGACATTGTGGATAAGTACCCTTGTGGTTATGGTGACATTGTTGACATGTTCTACTACTGTGGTGAAACCAAGTCCAACATCAAAGTCAGCAGTGACCATGATTTAGTTGCTATGTTTTCCAAAAATGCTAGTGCCAAGACCTGCTTGTTGACCTTTGCTTACCATCCTATGGGTGCTGATACACTAGTCATTCCACTATGGCATGATTTAGCTGAAATGCCTAACTCCTCTATGCAAGCCTGTAACCTAGTTGAGCCTACACCAGCACCAACCCAAACACAAGCTTCCACTCAAACACAAGCTTCCTCTCAAACGGCAACAACCACTGATGATGACAACTACCTAAACAATCCTGAGCCACATAATGAGCACGTGGGTGTGGATGAGGAGGGCATGTACATAGAATTAGAGCCACGGACCAAGGGTACTGATGCATTTGAGGAGGATGTACCTGTTTCTGACTCTGAATGGGAATCTGATTCTGATGATGATGATGATGATGACTATGAGGAGGATGAGGCAGATAAAATGGTCAAAGATAAAGTTCCACTTAGTAATCCTGAAATAGTGTATGACAAAAATGACCCACCAATGACAGTAGGCAGCATCTATGAAAATATATCTTGTTTTAAGTTGGCTTTGGCTACACATGCAATCAGAAATGAGTTTGAGTTTAACATAGAGAAGAGTGATCCAGGGAGGTACAGGGTCTACTGCAGTGCCAAAATTGATGGATGTAGGTGGAGGATTCTTGCATCTACAGGTGCAGACAAGACAACAGTGAAGGTAACTCTTGCCATCTTGCTTTTTTTGTTGATTTACTTATAATTGGTGTGACATATTTGCAGGTGAAGAAGAACCCATATCCTCATGAGTGTCCGAGCACAAGAAGAGGTGGTAAAGTGAAGTGTGCAACCAAGTTTTGGGTTTGTGAAAAGGTGAAGGACTAGGTATTTGAGGATCCTAGGGTGTCAGCTATGGAGCTACAGAAGAGGATCAAGGATAAATTCAAGGTGGTTGTGCCTTACAAGAGAGTATATAATGGTAAGGAACTAGCTCACAACCAATTATTTGGAGATTGGAGGTCCAGTTTTGACAATCTGTATAAGTTCAAGTTGCAAATTGAGGAATCTTGTCCTGGTAGCTTTGTAGTTATTGATCATCATACCATTAATAACAAGATTAGGTTCAATAGACTATTCTTTGCCATGAGGCCATGTATTGATGGGTTTCTTCAAGGCTGTAGGCCATACTTGTCAGTTGATAGTACATTTCTCACGGGCAAGTTTAGAGGTCAACTATGTGTAGCCTGTGCAGTAGATGGGCACAACTGGATGTATCCAGTTGCAGTTGGAGTCATAGATTCAGAAACAAATGAGAATTGGATATGGTTCATGGAGACTGAGAGATGTTATAGGGAGTTCGCCAGGTCTGACCTTCTGTACTGATTGTGGTCAAGCAGTGATGGCCGGTGTGAGTGAGGTATTTCCTAATGCAGAGCACAGAGAGTGTATGTGGCATCTTGTTCAAAATTTTAAGAAAAGGTTCCATAGACAGGTGTTTGATGATCATTTGTGGGCATCATCTTACAGTTGGAACTCATACCTTTTTGAGAAACACTGGTCAGCAATGGCAGCAGCTAAGCCAACCGTCGGTCCCACTCCCAGCAGCAGCGGCAGGGGGAGCAGCAGCACAGGCATCACGGCGTCACGCGGGTGAAGCTGCTCAAGCCCCGCGACACGCTGGTGCTCGGCTAGGCGTACCGCCTCATCACCGTCGCCGATGTCACCAAGGCGCTGTAGGCCAAGGAGGAGAAGACCCGGAGGGTGCAGCAGCAGCTGCTGCAGCAGGTAGTTCAGACGAAGCACGCCGGTGGGAGGACGGGCTCCGGTGACGACTCGCAGGTGGCTGATGGCATCCTTGATCAGGTACTGCTTTTACTCCTAAGCAAATCAAGGCACTAACTAATTTATGATGCCATAGAGTTAGACACTACATTAAGCTTTCCATGTCACTGAAGAAAACCAATACGGAGGCTCATATTCTTGACATTTTCTTTGTACTACAGGTTTATAAGTCAACTAATCCAATAGTTTTTTTTTGCTTTAGAAGATCTAGAACAGGCTCCAACCAGCCAGAAACTAGAAGCCTGCAGCCTGTGCCTTTGAGCATTGTGTTCCCTGCTAGCCTGGACCCAGAAACTGAGCATGTCAACACTGCTGACGATATCAACATAACTGAGAACAAAGGGAGACCCAAGACAGCTGTGAATAAGAAAAGGAAGCTTGACAATCCTGCTATGAATACAAGAGCCAAGGTATCTACAACTCCAGATAGTTCTGCTATGGGTACCAGAAGCAAAAGGAAGCTTGACATTTAGTTGTTGTCTGTGGGATGACTCAAAACTCCAGATATTTTGTAACTCATGTGGTCTGTCTATTGACCATAACCTGCATTTTGTAAGACCAAAACAGTGATCTGTGCATGACCAAAACAATGGTCTGGTCTATGTCATGACCAAAACAATGGTCTAGCCTATGTCATGACTGGTTTGTGAAATGCTGTTATGGTTTGTGAAATTTTCGTAACTGGTTTGTCAAATTTGTTGTTCTGGTTTCTGAATGAGATCTTTTTCTGAATCTGTGTAACTGGTTTGTCAAATTTGTGGCGTAAGGGCAAGTGAAAATTTCTGCTCCTGACGCCTGAACACAGGGGCAAAAAGGTCTTCCTATCCCTCCATTACCGACCGTCACTCTGTATCCTGACGGAAGTGGCACACACGACCACAAAACTTTACGCGAGGGAGTAAAGAGGGGTAGCCAAAATTTCTGTGGCAGAGAAGGAATTAGAAACTTTTATAATGGCTCGTAGGGAAAAGTCTCTTATTTGTTCGCTGGTCCTTTCACGAAGCTGCAAGAGGCCAAAAACCATCTCTCTTGTTGGTCCAAAGTTCGTTCTTCGTTGGTCGCTGTTCATGGGCCTTGCGGCATCCTTGCTCCCAGATTGCAACTGCTCCCACTCCACCGTCATTAACCAGTGGCTTTAGCACGGCCAGATTTGCACCGCATGCTTGGAATTTCCACCTTCCACAAATCCCCATATTCAGGTATCAAATTTCGTCAGTTTACAGTTTGTTCAATGTTGGTTCCAATGTTCAGACTGTTGACCAGAAACCAAATTCTAAAGATTGATCTGATTTGTGAGATTTAGGTTCGGAGGTCACAAGCTTGCTCACACAGTTACAGTTCCTGACTCCAAGCACTCAAGCAAGCGCACGCAATCACCATGGCAGAGACTGTTGTGGGAGCACTGATTGGCAAGCTAGGTACAGCATTGGAGAAAGAAGCAGCAACCTACGGTGCATCCCTGCTTTACAAGGAGGCTTCTGCCATAAAGGGTCTTTTTGGCGAGATCCGTAGAGCTGAGAGGGAGTTGGAGAGCATGAAGGCATACCTTCGTGAGTCAGAGAAGTTCATGGATACTGATGAGACCACAGGCATCTTCATCAAGAATATCCGGGAACTATCCTTCAGGGATTGAGGATGTTGTTGATGAGTTCATGTACAGGTTTGAGGGTGACAAACACGGAGGGTTTGCAACTAGGATGAAGAAGAGGATCAAACATGTCAAGATCTGGTGCCGCCTAGGTCTTGAGCTCTGTGATATCAATGTTGAGCCTGAAGAGACTGTGAAAAGGAGGGACCGCTATATCATCCCAGGAATGGAGAGACATGCTGGAAGCGGTGACCATCATACCAGATCCACCAATGAAGCTTTGTGTTTTGCAAGGGAAGAGGAACTAGTGGGTATTGAAGATAATGCAACCAAGCTCAAGGGGTGGCTGGTTGGTGATTTGGATGAAAGGAACACCAAAATCACCACAGTTTGGGGGATGGGTGGAGTAGGTAAAACTACTTTAGTTCATCATGTCTATAAGATTGTAAAAGTGGATTTTGATGCTGCGAGTTATAAAGTTGAGGATTTGCTGAAGAAAATTGCTACAGAGTTCGGCATGCCAATCAATTCTAGCATTATGGATATGAGAAGATTAGTTGAGGTCATCTGTAAACATCTCGAAGGTAAAATGTACATCTTGGTGTTGGATGATGTGTGGGAACAAGATGTGTGGATAAACAATATCATGCCTGTGTTTCCGGCTAAATGTACTAGCCGATTTGTTCTCACATCAAGATTATCTGAAGTTGCATCTTTGGCAAGTGGTAATTGTGCAATTAAGCTGGAACCGCTGCAAGACCATCACTCTTATATGTTATTTTGCAAGTTAGCTTTTTGGAACAATGATGATAAAAGGTGTCCTGAAGAATTATGGGATTTGGCCACAAAGTTCTTACAAAAGTGTGAAGGTTTGCCTATTGTGATTGCATGCATAGGCCGCCTACTGTCCTGCAAACCCCCAACATACACTGAATGGAAAAGTTTGTATGAGAAGTTAGAGCTGCAGTCGGTTAAAAAAGACAATCCCTGGTGTTGATTCCATTCTGAAAATCAGCTTGGAGGATCTTCCATATGAATTGAAGAATTGTTTCTTACATTGTGCACTATTTCCTGAGGATTATGAAATGAAGAGGAGGAGGTTAGTCAGGCATTGGATTACTTCTGGATTCATCAAGGAAAAGGAGAATAAAACTGTCAAGGGCCTGAGTATCGAGGGTAGGAGGCCCTCGGCTACGTAGATCGTAGCCTTGGTCCGTCTTCTCCGGTGAGGTTTTGCCCCTCTTCCGAAGGCTTGAGTGCGGTAGGGAGAGGAGAGAAAGTTCACGGTAGAATTCTTGATTGATTCCTCGGCTACAGCCGGATACAAGGCTTAATAGCCTGTTTTGCAACTAATTAAGGAAACTATCTCCTATAATTAAGGATCTCCTCTAATATCTCAACTAATTCTATTTCCTATCTTAGCCACTACTTCCCTTTCCTTCCTCCAGAAGATCGGGCGTGGCCACGATAGTAGCAGCAGCTCAAGGCTGCCGCTGCGCCTCTGGTCCCTCGCGTCTCTGGCGTGTATAGGGGAGGCCCACATGACATCTCTCCCCCTCGACTTGCAGCTCGTCCTCGAGCTGGAATGAGGGATGCTTGGCTGTGAACTCCTCCCAATCTTCCCATGTAGCAAGCAGACGCCGGCTGTCCCTTCCAGTGCAGACCAAAGACTTGTTTGATGCCCGGGCTAGGGCGAGAGGCGTACCACGCGCTCTGGTTGGGCACTATTGCACCATGCAAAGCAGCTCAGCAATGTTGGCGTGGAGGTTGAGGCGTGCCCACCCATTTCTTCAGAGCCCCACATGGAACACATCATGTATCTTGGCTTGGGGTGGGAGGGCAGACGAACAACAGCCCGCTTGTTGATGACCTCGGTGACTGATAGGGCCCAAAGAACTGGCTGCATCTTCCCTTTGGCGCCAAGGACATAGAAGCATCTTGGCGGTTAGGAGGCGCAGCAGAACCCAGTCCCCGACGTCATAGGCCACTGCACGGTGTTTGTTGTCGTAGAACCGCTTCTGGATGGCCTGAGCTTGCTCCAAGCGATGGCGTACATCCTCCAGAAATGCCTCGCGCTCAGCCATTGTCTTGGCCACCGCTGCCACCCGGGTGTCACCCTCTTCATAAGAACGGATGGAGGGAGGGTGCCGGCCATACACCACCCTGAACGGGGTGTCACGGAGCGAGGACTGGTACGCCGTGTTGTACATGTACTCCGCCCAAGGCAGCCACCTGAGCCAGTCCCGTGGGCGATCGCCGGTGATGCAACGAAGGTACATGGTGATCACCTTGTTGGCTGCCTCGGCCTGACCATCAGACTGGGGATGGAAAGCCGACGTCATATGCAGCTTGGCGCCCATGAGCCTCATCAATTCTTGCCAAAATGTCGAAGTGAACACCACATCGCGGTCCGAGACGATGGACTGTGGCATGCCATGAAGGCGAACAATGTCGGCGAAGAAAGCCTGTGCCACCGTTTCAGCGGAGTATGGGTGCGCCAATGGGATAAAGTGCGCATACTTGCTGAAACGGTCCACCACCGTCAAGATGACGGATTTGCCTCGAACCTTCGGGAGAGCTTCTATGAAATCAAGACCGATGTCCGTCCACACCGCTGTTGGGATCGGCAGAGGCAGCAGCAACCCAGCCGGCAGGAGATGCTCAGACTTGTTGCGCTGGCAAGTGGAGCACGCCCGCACAAAGTCCTGCACCACGCGGCGCATGTCGGAAAAGTGGACGTCCCGGCGAAGACGATGAAGGGTGCGCTGTACCCCTTCGTGGCCGTCCTCATGGACCGCGGCCAGCAGTTCTCGAAGCAGCGGCGACGACGGCGGAACGTAGACGCGGCCATCGTATGTGAGCAGGCCGTCAGTAATGGCCCAGGGAGCAGAGCGCGAGCCGGCGAGGACCTCCTCCTTGAGGGCCACAGCCGCCGGGTGGATGGCCTGCTCCTGGCGCAGCCGGTCGATGTAGTCGAAGCGGGGTGCGGATATGGCGAGCACCGTGCCCTCCGGCGTGTCGCGGCGAGACAAAGCGTCGGCCACCGCGTTCTGGGCGCCCGGTTTGTACTCGACGCCGAAGTCAAAGCCCAACAGCTTGCCCACCCAGTGATGTTGGGGGATGGTCGCAAGCCGCTGATCGAGGAGGAACTTCAAACTGTAATGATCCGTGCGGACTGTAAACCGGCGCCCCCACAGGTACGGCCGCCAGTGGCGTACAGCGTGCACCAGGCCGATGAGCTCGCGTTCATATGCTGCGAGGGAGCGATGTCGAGGCGCCACCGGCCTGCTGAAGTAGGCGATGGGGTGGTTCTCTTGCAGCAGCACGGCGCCAAATCCGTGCGTGGAGGCATCGCACTCCACTATGAACGGCTTGGTGAAGTCCGGGAGCGCGAGCACAGGCGCCGACGTGACAGCGGCCTTGAGCGCCTGGAACGCCGCCGTGGCCTCGTCCGTCCAGGAGAAGCCCTCCTTCTTGAGCAGCGCCGTCAGAGGTGCTGCGATGACGCCGTAGTTGTGGACGAACTTGCGGTAGTAGCCCGCCAGCCCCAAGAAGCCTCTGACCGCGCGCACCGACCGGGGCTGTGGCCAGTCCCGAACGGCCTCCACCTTGGCGGGGTCCATAGCCACACCATCAGCGGAGATCACATGGCCCAGGTACGCCACTGATGCCACCGCGAACGCGCACTTGGACTGCTTGACGAAGAGTTGGTGCTGCTGCAGTACCGAGAGCACAGCACGAACATGGCGCAGGTGGTCGGCCCAAGAGGAACTGTAGATCAGAATGTCGTCAAAAAACACAAGGACAAACCGCCGAAGAAAGGGGCGCAGCACGTCGTTCATGAGCGCCTGGAACGTGGCCGGTGCGTTGCAGAGGCCGAAAGGCATGACGAGGAACTCGTAGAGGCCGTCATGTGTGCGAAAAGCCGTCTTGTGGACGTCCTCCGGCCTCATGCGCACCTGATGATAGCCCGACCGCAGATCCAACTTGGTGAAGAAGCGGGCGCCGTTGAGCTCGTCCAGAAGCTCGTCGACGACTGGGATCGGAAAGGCGTCCTTGATGGTGAGCGCGTTCAGCGCCCTGTAGTCGACGCAGAACCTCCAGGAGCCGTCCGGCTTCTTGATGAGGATGACCGGCGACGAGAACGCCGAGTCGCTCCGGCGGACGATACCCTGGCCCATCATCTCCCCGCATTGCCGCTCCAGCTCATCCTTGTGGGCTGCCGGGTACCGGTAAGGGCGCACAGCAACTGGAGCGGCGCCTGGCTGTAACGTGATGGCATGGTCGCGGGTACGCTGCGGTGGCAGTCCTGTTGGTGCAGCAAAGACGTCGCTGAACGCGTCGAGGAGGCCGTCGAAGAGGGGGCTGTCCCCAGCGGTCGCCGTGAGGCGCGGTGCGCGCACCTTCGCCACATCAGTCCAGCAAATCGCCCGGCCTTGCCGAGTGAAGGACATGGTCCTGACGGTGAAGTCCCAGACAATCGGTCCCAAGGTAATGAGCCACTGCGTGCCCAGAACCAAGTCATAGCCGGCGAGAGGCATGACATAGAGATCCACCAGGAAGTGTTCGCCGGCGACGGAGATCGGTGCCTGCCGGATAACGCCGGGGCAGCGGATGCGCTCCCCGTTCGCCACAGTCGCCGTCAGACGTGGACGTTGCTGCACTTCCAGTCCGGAGCGGCGTGCTGCCGCTTCGCCAATGAAATTGTGGGTGGATCCTGTGTCCAGGAGAGCCACCAGTGAGACCGCGCCCACGTCGACCGGCACCTGCATGGTGTCGCAGACCGGCACCCCCGCCACGGCCTGCAAGGAAAAGACAGGAGCCTCGGCATCCTGATGAGCAACTGCAGCGGCCGCCTCCTCCTCTTCAGTGATCGTGACGCCGTCCACGAAGAAGATGCGGCGGCAGACCCTATTATGGCCCCGTGTGTACTTCTCATCGCAGTTGTAGCAGAGGCCCAGGCGGCGACGTTCTGCTTGTTCTTCTGTAGACAGCCGCTTGATCGGCTGGCCGGCTGGACGCGCAGGCGCTGCTCCTATGGCTGGGGCAGGAAGCGCCGGCCGAACCGGGGGGGCCGGGAGCGCCAGGGGCAGAGGCCCTGGACCTTGCTGGACGCGTGTGCCTCCTCTGCCCGGCTGAACTGCTGGGGCAGCCGCCAGCCGTTCCTGCTCCATGACCTCCACCTCGCGCGCCAAGCTCATGGCGACCGCTAGCGTCTGGGGATTGTGAAGGCGGACTGGTTCTTCGATCGAGGAAGCAGCCCCGGTGTGAAGAGCTGAACCCTCTGCGCCTCTTCCAAGTGGCCCAGTGCATGAGGAGCGCTGAACCGGTCTGGTACTCCTCCTCGACCGTGCGGTGCGCCGACATCTGCGAGAGCTCGAACAGCGGCGCCGAAAGCGCGTGGCGGTCCGAAGCGGAGGTTGAGCAGGTCCTTAAAACGGCGCCACGTCGGCACCCCTTCATCTGCTTGCACTTGCATATATACCACAGTTGGGCATTGTCCTCCAAGTTGTAGGAGGCCATCCACACCTTTTCTTCCTCCATTATCCATTGTTGGTGGAAGTAGGACTCGCATCGATTGACGAAGACGAGAGGATCAGACTTGCCATCATAGCGGGGAAGTCGAAGTTTCGGAACACAGGAGGCCGATCGGTGTGATCTTGGCCGTCGTGCCCAAAGACCCAACGCTGGAGGCACCCGAGGACGACGCCTTCTCCTTCTTGGTAGCGTCCGTGTCGGATGGAGGGAGCCAATCTTGCCCGTGAGGCCCTCTATCATCTTGGCGAGGTCAGCGATCGTTGGCTCAGCCATGGCAGAGGAGCGGGATTCAGCGGAGGTGGGCGATGGAGGTGTGGCAGCGGGGGCGATGGTGGCTGGAGGGTCGGCGGCTGCAGCAGATGAAGCTGCCGATGAACTGGAGGTGGTGGATCGACGTGACCGTGATACCAGGTTGTCAAGGGCCTGAGTATCGAGGGTAGGAGGCCCTCGGCTACGTAG